ACAATTCTCAAATTGTAATCCTCACTTTAATAAAGAAAAGCAATAATATGCTCCATATGTTCACTCAAAAAATGATAGCTAAAAATTAAGAATTCTGTCAGGCTAAAACAAAGCTTTGCTGCAAGCTGAAATCTCTTTTATATATCCTTAAGTATGCATTTCTTTTGACTGCATAAAAAGGCTGTTTTGTTCTGCTGCAATTGTATTTAATTTTTTCATACCTACATTACCAACAACGTTGAGTTTATGAGACTAGCACTGAGTTTTTATATATTAACACTACCTTGCTACAGTTTGATTTCTTGTGGAAGGAAATGAATGAAGATTTTAAATAGCAAAAACTTATTTATTACAAACATACATATTTTACATTTTAATTAACTATTCATTCAAAAAATTGGTCAATAACCTTACAAGCAGGTTTTGTTTCTTTTGGCTCTGTTAGAAATTTTGTGCTGATCGCATTTAAAAATTCGGAGCATTTATTTACTTAAACAATTTTGCATCAAACTACTGCATTCTTGCAAAAATTGTAGCACAATTTCTTTCATTGTAGGTAAATTTAACAAGCTCATGCTTGAAAATTCTATTCAGCAACTAAAAATATCACAATTTGTTTATAAAAACTATTGTATCTTGAAATATGACATTAAATAAATAAATAACAATAAAAATAAAATAGTCACAAAAATGGTGAAGTTGCTTTTTAAAGCTGAAGAACTGTCATATGCATGGTTGATATAGTTTGACACTTTTTGAAAAATTTGCCGACTTCTACTAAGTTAGTTGCACTAATCAGTAAGCAATGGTAGCACAAAATATGATTTCCAAAAATTACTTACAAGTAAGTTGAAGTAGGCAGATTTGTAATATGCCAAGTCTGATACTAAACCTTTTACTTTGGGATTTTACTTTTACTTTACTATTTCATATTATTTCAACATCTACACTATAGCTTGAAAGGTGGTCGAAAAATTAACATAGTTTAAAAACATTGTACTTGTCCAAAAGTATGACTGCTTTGTGTCTGAATTAATAATTTTCAATAATACTATAAATATACACCTTCCTAGTTCGTCAGATGTTTTGCTGGCCATTACAGATTGTTAGTTTGCTCTTTAGTTTTTCTTTTGCTTCTTTCTAAAAACATACTGCCAATTAATCTTTTATCGGCTTTTTTATTTTTTAAATAACTAGCACTAGACATATGTTTCATTAAAGTAAACTTTTTCTCAGCTGCAAAATGAACATATGGCAAATAAGATCAACATGGAGTTGAATAAGTATGCACAGCAGGGAGGTGGGCTGTAAGTACATGTAATGGTTTTATACAGATCTACTAATGCAATAACAAATTTGCTGAGAAACTATCTTTCCCGAACTGGTTTGAATGACAGGTTTTTATCTGCAAACTTGGAGAAAAAGTTTGCAGCTCTTCACGCACAAATTATATGTCTTCAAAATGAGTGATAAAAGTACAACAAACTCAGAAAAAGTTAAGAGATGCATTGTGTTGTATGATTAAAGCCACCTAAACAAAAATGAGCCTTACTTTTTGGTAGGTAATGGATTTATTATCATAAACCAAACTTCAAAGACCAACTACTCTAGTTCGTTAAAATTTTCAAAAAACATTTTAAAATCACTAGATAATTTGACAAATTATGTTTTTAAGCATACTAATTTAATGATGGAAATATTCAAATTTTTATTAAAATTATATCAGATTTACAGTCAAATAAATACAACTAAGTTTTTTAATCATCAATTTGTGTATATATATATATATATATATTACAGCAGAACTTCACTCATCCTTTAGTCTTGGAATCATCATTGCAACAGATAAGAGAGATAGATAACAGAAAGTCTATCTTCAGCATATTTTACAATACATATTGAAATCAAATTTAAATTGAAAACTGGTTGCCTTATAGCTCCTAAACTTTTTTATTACTAGGTGCATTAAAAATTTACATTCATAGTGATTTTCTGTTTGGTTGCTGCTGCTGGAAATTTATATTACTAACAAATTTAAAATGCTGTTAAGTACCTTTTAAAAAAATTGGAATAAACAATAATTTAGCTTCAAAAGCTTTCATCAGTGCTGAATAATATTTAAAAATAACATTCAATGAACATAGATACCATTTTCTCAAAATGCATTATACTTTAACTGAATTTACAAAACTATGATAGAAAAAACATCACAGAAGCAAACAAAAGCACCAGAAATGATACATGATGCAAAACATTGAAAAATTGAAGAATGCACCACACCATCCTAAAGAAGCACATAAGTGTTGATTACTATCTGCTCTTAATAACAAAGTGAATAAATAATAAAAGACCCAAATGTTAAACATAGAAAAGACAAATTGTATCACTTTCAGATAAATCTTAAATAAATTCAAGACGGTGAATAGCAAAAAATATTTATTTTGCCATCTTTTCTTTTATAGGAAAAAAAGATAATTAATTAACTGTCTCAAGAATTATTTCATCACTGATACTACACTACTGACACTGAAAATGCAACATCGAGAAGGCGTGGGGAGAAAGTGATGAAACTTGGAAAAGAGACAGCACCGAACAATAAATGATCATTATTTAAAAATTATGTGCATAATACAGAGTGAGAACAGCGTCAGTTCAGTAGGTTGTACGACCCCTTGGACGGCGATACATAAAGCAACACTTCTAGGTATAGAGTCAATGAGACTACGGATAGTGTCCTGAGGAATGGCTCTCCATTCTCTGTCAACTGTTTGCGACAGTTTGGCTTCTGAATGCGGCAATGACAGGGTCTTCAAATGGCATCCAATCATATTCCAAATGTGTTTGATCGGTGAGAGATCAGGAGAGAATGGTGGCTAGGGAAGCATCTGTATACCTTACAGAACATGTTGACTGATGCAAGCAGAGTGTGATCAGGTGGTATCCTGCTGATAAAGGGCACTGGGCACTCCCTAAAGGTAGGGGCGTGCCACCGGCTGTAGCAAATCATCCATGCTTCGTTGGGCCGTCACAGTGTCCTGAATACGAATTAATTCAAATAACTCAGTGACATGCATCTATCCTGAAATTTGCATAAGTTTCAGGCCACTCCTTCTTGGTGTTGCATTTTCAATATCAGATAGTGTATTTACATGAAGATTTGATGATAAATGTGAAAGATTCCTGTTTCAAATAATTTGACAAGCCAGAGCTGAAACTGCTGTCAATCCAATGAAGAAACTGATCATTCCAATAACCCCCCAAATTTTGATATGCACTTTCGCGTGCAAAATTAAGACAATTGGCAAATTATGCCAATTTTTACAATTATGCAAATATTCATGCCGAGTAATTCAAAGTCGAGTATGTTAAGTGTATACTGCGGAGCTGTGGTTGTGGAAAGGATATAAGGAGGCATAAGGGATTTTTGGTGATCTGCCTGCTTGTACTCCTTAACGATTTCTCCCTACAGCTGGGTAAATTTTATATGGTTTCAGATACAATAAGTAGCCACAAATGTATGGATAATGGAATATAATGAAATATTGCATGGTAGATTTAAGACACGCTAACCTCAATCCGATCACCAAGCCCCTCATAAAATTGTCTGTCTGCTGGAACTGCCTCTGTTGATGCTGGCCTGGCATTCTCTGCTATTACACACTTTCTCAGAGACAAGAACAAGTTTTCTACGATGATTTCCTAGGAGAAATAATGGCATGAAAATTGAACATTCTGCAGGTTCCTTCTCTTATATCTTCTTTAATGTGTGCTGGAGAGCTGAGCATTTCACATCATTCATATAATTCGGTGATGTGCGCCTAGCCTGAAACTTGCATCGGATCACTCCTTGTTGCATTTTCAGTGTTTACTAGTACAATAAATTTAGACTATTCATGTATGAATTTCAAGATTTTCCATTTATCCTGGTTCTAAGATACCATCACATCTAGGTAAAAGAATTTTTGGGCTTTATGCTATTTTAGGTGAAATATTGTAATACATTAGACTCTCAAACCTAAAACGGTTTAATGCTCTTGAAACCTAAACACCCTGAGCAAAAAGAAAAATCTCATTTGAAACATGAATGAAAATCCAAACAAAAAATGACTATTGTATTCTTTTTCTTAGTCTTATATCCTATGGGTTGTAGAAAACAACAACTAGTAACTAAGACATTTTCTTCACTGGAAGAGAAGGTGGACAGTAAGAGTAGAAATCTACTAGCAGACATTAAAGAATTGCTGGATACTGATATATGGCACTGAGCTTATAGAAAAGTATTACTCTAAATTCCATTTGTGAACAAAGTATCATCCTGATTAATGACAATGTACTATAACATTTCACAGAAATATTCAGAAAGTAAGCAAAAAGAAAGATATTGGACAGTTTTCTTCTCAAAAAAATAAACAAATAAATAAATAAATAAAGTTAATGAAAAGATACTGCAAAACTGTCAACCAACAGAAATAAAGTATTTTCTCCATCCTTATCGCATGTCTGGCTAGCAGTTAAGAGCTTGGGAGTTCGAATTCGGCTAGGATATAGAGGATTTTTTCAGTTTGATAGCTTAAAAAAGAAATTCTAAATTATTTCTGCATAGATTCAAGATAAAAAGATAGTTCATCTTTCACTGAACAAAAGTATTCCTACTGTTATTATTTTTTGTTATTTATACAATATTATGCACATGCTATTATATATAAAGCATTTAATTATTAAAAAATACATATACTGGTTTATAATTATTTACAAGAATGATCATTTGAAGTAGATGTTTAAAATATTCGATGGTAGGTAAGTTTTGGGAGAATATAACAGATTCCTTGCAGAAAAATTCCACTTAAAATTAATATTGTCTCTTAAAATGGACTGTATTCAACATTTGTGTACTCACTGTATCAGAAATTTAATATAAATGATTTTTCCCTTAATAAAGACAATTGATTTATATTCCAGCCTCAATTTTAATACGTCAAACAAGAAATACAAACACTTACTTAACAGCCTTTTATTCACAGCAGGATCCATAAAATCTACAATATCATTTTCCCCATGCTCTTCAATGTATGGATCATTACTTTTTAATACTTTTATTTGTTTTACTTCATCATTTTCAGACATTTCTTCATCTGAATCAGCCAATACTCCATCAAACCTTTAATAAATTGGGGGGGGGGGAAAGGAAACATAATTATAAGGCTAAAGCACAGAAGTTAAAAGCTAGAACACTAACAACAGAAATATTTTAACAATCTGAAAGAAACCAAATCAGTGTCTTCAGGATGAGGGAAACACTAACAGTTGGGATATCACATATCATGAAAAGAAATTAAGGACACAGCTACCAATATATAAATATTTATTCACTTTAACAATGCTTTTTTCTTTTTTCAGAAAATGAAATTTATTTATAAACAATGTTTAATTAAAATCATTTTTATCAGGTATCAGAATACAGCTTATCAATTCCTTTAAAGCTACTTCAACAGCTGACATTTTGTATATATAGCTCAATATTTTAAAAGTCAATACAATTTCTTGTAAATCTGAAATCTACCATGTGTGAATAAGGATAACAAATCTAAAAGTTGCCCACATGTTAATTAGTTGCCAGATTTATTGTTATGCCAGATTACTTCTTTGGGCAGCTAGATTTAACAACACACAACAAAAAATTCACACTCCAAAGAGTAAAAAAGTTTTCCTCCATACAATAGAGAGGAATGATTTCAAATGTTAACCTACATCTCAGTCAATAATATAAGGCAAAAATCCTCATTGAAACATTCATCTCTGCTTCATCAACATCATATTTGCAATATGCATAAGTGCTTGTCATAGCGTGAGGATAAAACTTGAACTTTTTTTGCTGAGACTTAGTTTGAAAGTAGGCAATGTTAATGCTGACTTTGAAAGCAGCAATGTTAATTGAAAATTATTTTGCCTGTTCATTGCCAGTGTATGGCACTAGTTCACGAGTGTCAATGTTTAAATGTTTAGATTCTTGCAAGATGTAATTTCCTGGTTTAACTGTTAACTGAAGTTTGCGATTTTTAGGCCTTTCTAATGACTTTTTGATGGAGTCTAATGGTGATAAAACACCGCCATCTTTGGTAACCCAAAGTAAGAACTGCACTGGTGCATCATGCGTTGCAGCTATGAATGAGAAATGAGCTGTGCAAGAAAATTAGCTAATCCAATACTATAAATGCCAGAGGTTTGGACACACACAGCATTTGTGCTTCAGTGCTACATGATGGTGAAATGTAGTTTAAATCGTAGTAGTGCCGAATGTCCTCTGAATACAAAACAAAATCCTACCTGTCTTTACTGCTGAGGACACCATGTGAGCAGTTATAGGGATGGCTAGAACACGTGAAAAACCTTCCAAAACAATCACTTGAAGAAGTAGACAAAAAGGAAAGTGAATGGAAAATGAAAAGTTTCCCGTGCTGACCAAAAAATCCTAAATCGGAAGACAAATCGGAAGGAAATATGGTAATATGTTCACTAACTGTACACCAGAAGTATCACAAGAAATGAAAGATGAAAATATGCAATGAAATGTGAATTTCACTATTACCATGATGGAAATTATCTCTCTGCTAAAAGGACTTAGGAAAGCCAAGTCACTGGTAAATATTCTAAATTTATTTTTGAAAGCAGTTAAAATACTCATGAATTTTTCAGGAGAAGAATAAGCACTGATTACTAAGTCACCAGTTCAACTGCAGCAAAAAATTAAATTGGAAAGAATACTCCTTCTTTGGGCAGCTAGATGATGGCACATGCTTCAGCAATTTTTTTCACCTTATCAGCAAGATGCTTGCAAATTAAAAAGTTAATTAACTGCAAATGCATTATGGCAATACTCAATATTGGTTGAAGCTTAATCAGTTAATGTGAATTGTAGTACCACCAAGTTCCAAGAACACAGAAATGTTAAAATTTAGATTTAGGTTCAGACTTTTTAAAAAGTAAGTCATGTCTAAATTTTTATTTAAAAAACCTAGTGCATTTGTAAAAAGAAAGAAACATTATGCTATGTTACAATTTAAGTGATTCCGGGTATAAAATTATGAATGTTGCACCGCACTTTTTCAAAGACAAGATTAAAAAAAAAGTTGCAGTTGTGATCCACGTTGCTGAAATTACTTCATAACAGTTCTCCGAAATAAGAACACCTACTCTTTCTCCTTATAGAGGTCAGCCGCTGTTAGAAAAGACAGAAATCTTCATACACATTCCTTAGCATGTAGATGATGCCTGCATTCTTATGAAGATCAGTTTCTAACTTGAAAAAAAGCAACCTTCACAAAAACGCAGATACCGTTCTACCGGAGCACCATAATACAGATTCAGACCTGCAAGCCCTTTATGCAAGGTCTTTTATAAAGCTTTGCAACCTTTATAAAGGTTGCTTGTTCAAAGTTAGAAATTGAACCATTAAGAAGGCATCTGCTGATTTGGCATAAAATTGTTTGCACCTTTATAGAAAAAACTGGACTGGCATATAGATGCTGACATTTTTTGTTTAGATTGCAAAGAATCAGAACAATGTTGCAGGTTGTAATTTTTAGGACTTATGTATTTTAAAAATTAAGTTATTAATAGATATAGTAATTTAAAGCAACCTTTATGGCAGAAATCCTCATTATAGTGAGGAGCGGCATTTATCTTTGCTGCGCAATATGCCTATGCGCTTGTCATAGTGCAATAATAAAGACTTGAACTTGCCGACCTCTGGCATCATCTCATGTGCATTAATGTTGGAATATTAAGCCTCTTACAATATATGATATTCTTTTTTCTAATTGTTAAATTAAATTGGTTTTAATTGTCAGCTTCTGAAGACATCTTTTATTCATGCATTATTAGGGAAGTTAGAAATTATTGCAGTTTTTTCAGAAAGAGGCTGAACACCAGAAGGGGCAATTAAACAGCAAAGAAATGATAACAATGACTTTTAATACATTTAGAAGGATTAAATTTTAACCAGTATTTTCACAGTTTATCAAAAATTAAACGGAGGTGGCTCTCGCGCTCATCTTCATTTGTTGAAGCCACAAGCAAATCATCAAAGTAAAAAACACAAATGTCAAAGCCAGAAAGTACTTGATGAACACGTTTTTGAAAGAAATGTTTGGCCTGCATTTCGCAAACCAAACGGGGTTTTAAGGAACAGACAAAATAAGGTGAGAAGTAGTAGGTCTTAGTGAAAAAGTTCAATTTTTTATCCTCGCGCTTAGGTGAGCACACATTCAGCGAAGATGAATGCTGCCACTCACTGCAATGAGGATTTCCACCATAAGCATAACAGAATAGAATTGAATTTATTATTTGATTAAATAAAATTTTTGGGGCAACAAAGAGGGATTTTGAATGTCTTATCATGAATAAAGAAAATAAATGTAAGGGAACAAAAATATTGTTTTATGAAGAATTTAGTATATTATAGGATACAAGTCTATTTATTTCAATAATATCTCCTAAGAGCTAACCTTCTATACTTTCAAAATAAATACAAAATGGAAGTTCTGATAATCTAGATGCTTTACTTTTTCCCCCTATAGAGTTTTTCTCACCAGAAATTTCAAAATTAATAAATATAGTATTCTGTTTCAAATAATCAAGGTTTAGTATTTAAATACTTCTTTTCTGTTTCAATTCTGTGTTTATTGATTGTGATAATTGTTTCTCTTATGAGAATGAATAAGATTTTTTTTTAAAAATTCATTTACTTTATTTTCTTGCATGTATATATAAAGAAAAACTCAGTCATAGATTACTATTCTCCTTCATGATTAAAATTCCATTAAATAAGTGGTATATAAAATAAAATAAATCAGTTTTATGACTTAAAAGTTCTATTGTAATTAAAATGTCAAAAAATTTGAAAGGAGGGAAAACTCCAGTGCAGTATTCAATCATATGATTTAAGTTTCTTACTCATCTGGCTTTTTAGTTGAAGTCGTTATTTCAGAATCATCGTGTTCATCTGAAAAACCTTTTTTACGCTGCTTTCTTGCCTCCATTTTACGAATATTCGTCAAAAGCTTCTGGTAAGTATCAGGTACCATCTTTGATATCATCTCATATCTATAAAGAAAAACTATCATTAAGAATACAGATATAAAGGCATTTAACAGGAGAATATTTTTTTCCAATATTTACCCAAACTTTCTAATAAGTCTGGTGAAGACTTCTTTAGCTTTAAACCTAAAATGTCTCTGATTATCTTCCGAAATGCTTGTAATGCTTTTTACCTAAAATATATTACAGTTTTAATCATATGTAATTAAATTAGAGGTAATATAATAATTTATGAAATTTTAAATTAAAAGACAATATGCACTTTATTAAGTTATTATTTTGAAATATTACCAGGAATTCAACATGTTGTGCAAGTTCTGCGATATCCACACATGCAAATAAAATTTTTAAGAATGATAAAGCTGATGTTACAACTTCCCGAGCTCGAGACGTGATGAGATGGCATGTGTTTTCAATAAGCAGATGAATAATATCCGAGTCTAGATCATCTATTCAGAAAATAAAATATTTCATCATAAAATTTATTCATTCATAATGTAATAAAATAATCCTGCGACAAAACAAATATGAATAGCAATCTACAGGGAAAACAACTGGTATACTTTAATGAAGCATATTAGATTTCTAAATAACAATTGCCGAAGTCCATTTCTTGGACTTCGGCAATTCCAGATTTGGGATTTTTCCAAATATTAGATCATTAGTTTAAATCTAATAAGATGACATATATGAAATAGTGGTTTATAAAATAATCATTTACAACCTTTATTAAGTCAAAATTTGCCAAAAAATATTGTATGCTTTACTTAAACACTTCTTTCAATGTAAGCTGTTTAAGTTTTTTTTTTGTCCTAATGTTTTCTTTTTAATTCCATCGATAGACATAATTTCTTTTTCAGTTGCAAAGTTCCATTGTTCCAGTCCCAGAGTTGCCATGTCAAGAATTCCCATTAAATTGCCAACTAAATTTTTTTGTTGTTATCAACAACTTCTCTTTTCTTCACTATCATTAGCAATACTTTCTGGATTTAGAACCATGCTGCAGATTTCACCATCTGATAGTTGATTGATGATTAAGGCCCTGTCATCATAATGAAAAGCAAATTAAATCAACTTCATTCATTACCCCTACTCCACATTTTTTCATAAATTCCATTACTTGGAAAATTTTTTTCTTTTTGTTTGCATTATCCGAAAAACCTTTAAATTTATGGCTGTCATCATAAAGCTTAACTAGCATCCGCTATACACTATTAGTGATGTATCATGAGACTGGCGACTAAAGACATGTTGTTCCACTAAATTCTCTCTTGCTTTTACAATATGCTGAAGAAGTTAAGGCTGAATTAGGTTAGTTTAGTTATTAATTATACTTACACCTATTTCCTGCATATGCTTAAGACTTAACTGGGTCCTGAATAAATAAATTCTCACACATTCTTCAGTCTTTCCCACGATTAGGCGCATTTTGCAACTTGGTGCCGTCTCTGTGGATCTTCACATCCCTAAATTCTAAAAAATTTGCCACCTCTAAACTTTGAGTCCCGGTGCTTTCTCTAAGTTCTAAAAATTTTACCATCCCTTAATTCTGTTGCTCGGTAGTTCTCTAACTTAAAAAATTTTTATCTCTGCTAAATTCACACCCTGGCTTTGTATTATACTCTGCCAGTCATAGCTCTGGGGGCATAAAAACATGAAACCAGTTCCTACTGCTACAAAGGACAGCTTATGCTGTCTATCATCTTTTTTCATCTCTCAGTTCTCAATAAACAATGTTCCAAGTGATCATTTTTTACAGCATTTCATTTGATTCTCATTTCATTTTTATCAGTGCAATTTTTTAAAAGGATGTTATACAAATATCTTAAAGAAATCAAAGTTTTAAAAAACATTCTGGGAGAAATTAATTTTTTAAATGGTACCCAATGTGGGTACCTCACATCCACAAACTTGTATTTAGATTTCAAAAAGGCAGAAAATTGGAATAGATAAGATGGCCTTGAAAATGTTAATAGAATAAGGTTATAATTTTGCTATGATTACATCTGGCCAAAGCACTTTAAATAATAAAAAATCACTGTTTTAATCTTTTTTATATTTAAAAAAGAGCATAATTAATAACACTCCTCCTAGCAGGAAGAAATCTTCAAATTACACTTTTAAATATAACAGGAGGTGATTTATACCCACTATTTTGGAGGGGGGGGGTTGAAAACTTCGAATGTATCCCCATTTCTTTTACAAAACGTATTATTTTCATTTTTTAGTGCAATTTGATATTTTTTTTATTTTTTTTAACCTTCTTTATACTAAAATGAACTAAAATTCAGTGTCAAATTTCAAGAGTGTCACAACAGGGCTTGAAATGGTTATAATAAGCAGCATATGTCATACACTACAGGAAATGTGACATAATCATCAACATGATGTATATATCATGTGTTCTACAGTGTATGACATATGCTGCTCACCTTGATCTTTTTACCAATTTGGTGTGAAAAAGAGAAATTATTATTACATTAAATAATTTCAATTTATGCTTACTTGGCATGCTAAACTTTATGCATACACTAAGTTTTGTCTACTGCAGTTTAGCGCACATAAGAAAAGTTTGTTTAAATGTCTAATTTTTCTTAATTGCGTTCCTATATACGCAGACATACACTGGTTTATATAAATCAAGGAAAAATCAGAAAAACGACATTTTGTAAAACATTTTCATGAAACTGTAGGAAAACATAAATTTTATTCTAAATTTCAGACAAATATTTAAATATTTTATGCAAGAAATGGCCTAAAAATTTTGACAATGGAATACATTAACACATAAGTGATAAAAGCATTGACTTCCTGATTACAGACTAGCAATAACTCCCAGTTTTTTCTTAAACACAAAATTTCCAGGATAATTTTATCAATGAATTGCATTTATTTTTCAGTTTTTTGAAGACATAACCTCTAACTGATATATTTGCAGATAATACCTACCTTTATAAAAATATATTAATTTTGCCTGGCAACAATGTTTGCCAATTTTTAAAATGCCATGAAATTTTCAATTCCAAAAAACAATAAAAATTATTTACTTACATTATAAACTTTCTGTAATTTTATAAATGCAGTAAGTACATAAATATAATAGGAATTATAAATGCCCAGAGAAAAATAATGAGCCCATAAAATACTATTGGTAAAACTACAAATAATATAAGCAGAGTATTGATTTACAAAACATTTATATTATATTAACTAAAAATATGTACAATTCAAAAAAATACCCTTAAATTCATATACAATTCTTCCAATGGCTAATATTGAAGCACTCATCAGATGTGGACTTCCCGCTAAGCCAGCAAGTAATAGTTTCATGTATTCTCGTAATGCTCCTAAAGAATAAAACCTCTTATTATACAATAAAATTTCATTTAGCTTCAAAAATAATTTGAAAACATTTCAGCTGATTGAAATCCAGTTTATTCTTGGCTCTACAATTTTGTTTTTCAAGCAGTGGTTACAACACATCCACAAACTTGTTTTAAAATATAATACAAATAACAAATACTATAATATGAAAATAAGACTATGACTTGAAAAATTATGCTCATTCTCTACACTGCCTCGACTTGAACTAGAATGTACTATCAATGGATCCCCAATTTTTGCATATACAGAACAAAGTCTTTAATCCAGACATCTATAATCCGGAATGATCTATAATCTGGACCTCAAAGCTACGTATTTCGTGCACGCGTAAACGCATACGCATGCCCATAGCACCTTTACACATGTGTAAAATATGTTTCTGCATGTGCGTTTAATGTATAACAGAGAGTATAAGATAGGCTAAAATTATCTAATTATCTATTTCAGTTAATGTTGCAGATTGTGTCGTTCCTTAATCTTCTAATTGGATCCAGCTTATTATTTTTTGCAGACTGTTAGAGCAATTTTTTAAAAAGTAAGTTTGAACTTTTAATTATGTCAAAAAGTATTTCCAATTCTGGAGCTGCCAAAGGATCTACAAAGCGAAAGCATGTGTCGATGTCCATCAAACAAAAAGTGGAATTGCTGCAAAAAATGGATAAATTCATATCCTTTGTTTCTTTAAACATTCCGAAATCTGTTTATCAATTTCACGCGGCTCTGCAGGGGGGGGGATGTCGCGCCACGCAATGAACTGGAAGTTGATTTGTCAGCACTATCCTCATCTTCAGGGCAGATGTTTTTATTTTATTCAGCTTATAATTCCTTACTAAATGTAGTATTTTATCTCGATGTACTCCGATATGATTTAAATTAAATTCCTCATCATTATAAATATCACGAATACACATCAAATAGTTATCTGGTTGCAATTTTCTAATTTCGACTATGCGACATGTATGCTTTACGCATGCGCGCGTTGAAAGAAATGTTTAATAAAGTAAACAAATAAATATTAAGCTTTTTTTTTTTTTGTAAATTTTGATACCCTTTAGATCAGTCTTTCCCAAAGTGAGCGATAACGCCCCCTTGTGGGCGTTTGAGACCTAGAGAGGGGTGTTAAGGGGCCCAGAAAAAAATGGGGGGCGTTGACATGGGTTAGGGGGGCGATGGTAGATTTGTAATTTGATTTACTTTATATTTTAAATTTCACTAGAATTAAAACCTACCTACTACACAATAACGAATACTTAGTTTATATTTCTACCCTGTATGATGGTATAAAAACTTAAAATACTTAACATAGATTTCATAGGATAGCCCACACGCCGTATGCGCGTACGTTGTAAAATGGACGAAAAACATACAGCTGTGTAAATGCATGAATCGCCAAATGTGGCAAACATTCCGGGGGAAAAGACTAACTGCGGGAGCCGGTGCACTTATGATGTTGTGCTCCGTAGACGTACTGTCCGTTTTCGTTTGGAGAAACCTTCAGCGCTTTTACGCATGCGTCAGGTCTGCTTCGAGTTCATCAAAATAGGGTTGAGACAAAAGAGAAATGTTTACTTAACATGCGTGCTTCCGTGCTTCTGAAAAACCGGTCTGAGGAAAAAGTCCATCTCAGCGTATCGCCCCTTTTCAGAATAGAATCGTCGACAGGTGGCGGTTTTGCAATACGAAAACGGACTGTACGTGGTAGCAATCGGCTGGTTCATCGATACTTGTCCTAACTTGCTCAGTACGATTGAGCGTCGAAAGAGATAAACGAGTTTGTGCGTGTTTGTCTTATTCCTGTCGGTGCTTGCTGTATTTAAATCCTATATAAAAGCTCGTAATTTTTCTTATATTTTCATTAGTGGTTTTAAACGAGTATTTAATGAGCGCGCTATCTTTAAACGAGTATTTAAGTTCAACACTTTATTTTTACATATTTTTGAAAAAAAAAAAAAAAAAAAAGCCATGTCGCAAGCAAAAAAGAAGAAACGGCAATACAGTGCAGAATATATTAAATATGGATTCATAGAAAATTCGACAAACCCATCTTTGCCTTTGTGCCTTCTTTGTTCAAAAACATTTTCAAACGAAGCGATGAAGCCTTCAAGACTTCAAGATCATTTAAATAAAATGCATCCAGATAAGAAGGACAAAAATGTAGCCTATTTTCAAGATCTGGAAAAGAAGCATAATGCTCAGCCAAGTGTATCGAAACTTTTTTCGATGGCTGCTAAGCAAGACGATGACGGACTTCGAGCTTCATACAATATCTCTCTGTTAATTGCTCAAACAGGTAAACCACACACCATCGGAGAAACGTTAATTTTGCCGGCGATAAAAGAAAGTTATAACTACTGTGCTCCATAAACCGGCGGCAGATATAATTCGAAAAATTCCTTTGAGCAATAATTCTGTGCAAAGACGAATTGATGAAATGGCTGAAAACATTGAAGAGTCATTGTGCAATCATCTGAAGACTAGTCAATTTTCAATTCAGTTGGATGAGTCCACTTTACCAACCAATGAAGCATTGTTGTTGTCTTACGTGAGGTTCATTAAAGATGAAAAAATATGTCAATAACTTTTATTTGCTAGAAATTTAGAGACAGACACAAAAGGAAAAACCATATTTAAAACACTGGAAAAGTTTTGTGATGAAGAATATTATATCAGCTGCTACAGATGGTGCTCCAGCTATGACAGGGTCTCAAAAAAGCTTCATGTCATACTTAAAAAACAAAATTCCTGATGTGATTGCTGTACATTGCGTTACACATCGACAGCATTTAGTTGCTAGAAATTTAAGTGAACAACTGTTTCAATCATTGCAACATGTCATCAGAGCAGTCAATAAAATCCGAAACAACTCTTTAAATGACAGATTATTTAATCAGCTTTGTGTTGCTAATGATGAAGATTTCAACAGATTGATCTTTCACACAGAAGTGTTTTACAATCTGTTTGACTCTGTCATAGAGTTCTTGGAAAACAAAGACAGAGCATTGCGTGAAAACCTCAAACTCATCACATCAATCAAAGAATGATATCGCATACCTGACAGACCTTTATACATTGTTTAATGATATGAATCTCCAACTTCAAGGCGATGACTTGAACTTAATAAAAACAAAAAATATCGTCGCTGCTTTCGTAGCCAAGCTGCTCTTACACAACTTACACAAGAAGAATATCGGCAGACGTGAGTTCCATAATTTTTCCCAATTTATCAGTATCCTGCAACAACGACGACTTGCTCGTCTACTGCCAACATTTGGAAAATCTTCACAGTGATTTCATTGAAAGATTCCAGGACATTTTGAAATTGGAAATACCAGACTGGGTGTTAGATCCTTTTTCAAAAGTCAACATAGCAATATCACCCCAGCTGGAAGAAGAACTTATAGAACTGACAACGAACGAGGAAATAAAAAGCAAATTTAAAAATGGCTACCAACAATTTTGGCTACAAAAGTCAATTCCGCAGTTGTACCCTGGATTGTGGTCGATCGTTCAACAATTTTTGATATCATTCCCATCGTCATATTTGTGTGAACGTGGATTTAGCGCTGTGACAACGCTGCTTACTAAAAAGAGAAATCATTTGCAAGTTACCAAACGCGGCGACTTACGACTGTTTTTGAGTAAAATCGAACCTGATATCAACAAACTTGTTAAAAATCATCAAATTCATCCATCCCATTAGATTAGTTTAAAAACTAAAATTGATTACCTATCTATATTGTTTCTTTTAATTTGATTAAAATATATTATTAATATTATAAAGTTGCGTTTTAATTGCTCTCACTGGTAAAAATTTCTAGTTTAGAATGTAAGTTTAAACACCAGAACCGACTAATATAGCACACTATAACTAAATTAATTAAAGTAATGAAATTGTGGTTATTAAGTTTTAGGAGTGTATAAAAAATGGGGGCGATGAAAAATAATTGACTTTCAAAGGGGGCGGTAGAAGAAATAAAGAATACTGCGTTCATAATGCTCTTTATTTCTAAATTACAGTTTCATATTTTTAATTTTATAATTTCTGCATTACTTGATTTAAGTTGATGCTCTATAATCCAGTAAAACCCTTAATCTGGAATCACCGAAGTCCCGACGAGTCCGGATTAAAGACTTTGTACTGTATAAATATTTTGTCTTAAATTACAACAATTTCTCTTTTGGGGAAAGAAGGATCAATATTACTAAATCATTTTTTAACAATTTTAATCAACAAGTTATAAGTTATGCACTTAAACTAATATGTTAAACTTTACCTTTAAATGCAAAACTAATACATTGTTGTTATGATAAATACACAATAATGTTTAACACATCACAGAGGACTAAACATAAATTTAACAGATTCGGTTAAAAAAAAACTAACCATTTGGATTACCAGGCATCCACTTCTTCAGTACATGTCCTATTTCAATTAATAAATGAAAGGCAGCAGTCCTTGCTTTGACAGAATTTTCTTTAGTACACAAGACAGCCTAAAATGAAAATTAGCACAATGAATCTAAATAAGCAAACTAATAGACACTATTGTTACAGTTTGCAATGATAACATTAACCATGATAGATCAAATAATACTAAGGACGATGTAATTAATGCAATGAATAATATCCCTTAGAAGAAAAAGCAAAACATGTACTGTAAGGACAATTTCTAATAATTGGTAATCAGGCACTAGATACAGAAACAGGTTAGTTAGATACAGAAACAAGTACTCCAGACAATTCAGTATAAAAATACATATGATCCTATCCCAAAATCTATCATTTTCTAAATTATTCCTGAATTAGGTTTATATGTATATATGATATTGTACTTCTGCCAGTTTATTAGATCGCAAATGTCAAATACAGCATTTCTGGGAAGAGAGGTATACTGCAAATAATCCTGAAGTAAAGCTAAAAGTAATTTCTAATTAATTTTGACATTCGAAACACCTCCTCTACCTCCAGTTATTATTTGTCCTGATACCATATGTTATGCTACCACAAAATCAATAACCCACATAGATTTATAAATTCCTAGTTTGAAAGCTGTTGCCATGCCAAGGGTATATAGATTTCTAATTTCCAATTATAGCAGGAAAGTGGATAATAAACTGAATGACTTAAAGATAACACATGCAATTATTCATACTATTTTTATCTTTCAATTTACAACACAACATTTTTTTTATCAGTTAAACAACAAAGAGCTACTCAAAACTGATATACTTTACCATTTTAGATAAATATTAGGTACATGTAAATAATATTATGTAAATAACTGATAATTTTTACAGACATTACACAGAGTAAATAATATATGATACTTCTAATCAGCGAGTGCCAGGTTTGGCATTTTTCCTAAGGTAGGGCAAAAACTTAAAACTGCCACATTCACCCATCTTCCTTTAAGTTTCTCTAACAAATTTTAATTTCTTTAATAAACATAGAAATAGGTAGGGTTTGAGATAAAATGTAAAATATATTTTATAGTAAGAAATTTTTTATGTGCCATTTTTGTTATAAAAGAAATATACGTAACAAATTGTTTCGTTTCTTTACTTATGGCAAAGCATAAGAGGCTATCTGCCTAAGAGGAGATATGCCTTCGCTGAGGACTTTCTAAGAGTAATTGGCTTGTATGAAAGTTACACACGAGTGAAACAACGGAAGTGCCTATGCAGCCAGCTAATTTGCTGGAATTCTAATCCCTGATCAACCTACCAGTGTTCAGACTTTATCGCTCAGCTGCTGGTGGCCCGACATACATACCAAAAAGTTACATAGACAAAAACCCTTACGAACCCTCCTAGTGCAACTGCCTCTCCGGCGCATGGAAATAATCAAATTTACATTTTCCCTGAAATAAGCATTTTTTTCAATATTTTCTGCAATAACTAGTCATGCTAGTAAATGATACTAATAGAAGACGATTCAATACTAAACACTAAAATAGTTCAGCACAGTACAAAAATGGGAATCGCACATTATTAAATAATAAAAAAAAATCATTTAAACAAATACAGTCAAAAGTTGTTAATTCGGACACCCTTAAACTGGAATGATCTATAATCCACACCTCAAAGCTACAAACTTTCTGAGCATGCGTCGCGTTGACGCATGTGCATAGGCATTTACGCATGCGCGTAAGACCTTTACGGCTGCGCATATGCGTGTGCGCAAGCGCATAATAAGTTTACGCATACGCGTTTAATATATAACAGACGGTATAAGCTAAAATTATCTAATTATCTATTTCAGTTAATGTTGCAGATTGCGTTGTTCCTTAATTTTTTTAATTGGATCAGGCTTATTATTTTTTGCAGACTGTTAGAGCAATTTTATAAAAGTAAGCTTGAACTTTCGATTATGTTTAATTGAATTTCCGACGCTGGAGCTCCCAAAGGATCTACAAAGCGAAAGTATGTTTCGATGTCCATCAAAGGAAAAGTGGAATTGCTGCAAAAAATGGATAAAGACATGAAGAAAGTGACACAGAGGTTAGTGAAAACGAAAAAATTTCGATTGACAAGGTAGTCGGTATTCTCGGCACAGCAATTACGGGACTTGAACAGCGGAACTTTGTAAATGAACAAGAAATTATGTCTGTTTATATAGAATTAAAGAGAAAGTATTAGCACATAAAACAAAGCAACTTAAACAACTTACATTGAAAGAAATGTTTAATAAAGTAAACAAATAAATATTAAGCTTTTTTTTTTTTTTTTTGTAAATTTTGATACCCTTTAGATCATAATTGTTCTTTATTTCATAAATTACGGTTTCATATTTTTAATTTTATAATTTCTGCATGCCATCTTGCCAGATTTAAACTGATGATCTATAATCCGGAATCGCCGAAGTCCCGACGAGTCCGGATTAACGACTTTTTACTGTATAAGCAAATTACAAATCACTAATGCAATGGATTGAATAATTTTATAACAATTTCTCTATACTAACAGTAACTTTAACCTAGGATGTTAAAAATTCATTTCACAATAATATGTTTATGCAGGCTACTCAAAAACTCTATTTTCATCCTCACACAGCTTGATAACATAATAAATATTTACATATTCACACTATTTTTTCACTGTAATAATCAAATCTACATTTTCCCCGAAATACGCAGTTTTGCAATATTTGCAACAATAAATAGCCAAACTAATGGAAAATGACCCAAGTAGCACGGCAACGTTGTAATGACGTTGCAAACTGGTCGCGAATCATGTTGAAAAAATGTAATACGGCGTCTTTGAGATGCCCAGATGTCCGCAAAACTCCACTGTTTTGCAACCGTTGCAAAGACGTCTTTGCAGATAAGGTTTTTGTCGCATAGACGTCATTATTGCATCTTTTGCAGGTGATATTTTGGTTATGAAAGCATCGTATCCTGACATCTAAATGTTCGCAAAATTCCAACTTTTTGCAACAGTTGTGCAAATGTCGTTAATTTGTCCTTAACATATTGATTTATGCAGAAAAATAAGCTAAATAATTAATATATTTATCTTCTTTTTTAAAATTTTGCATTTCTTGTATTTTTTTAAGTTTAAATATTTTATCATTTACTGAAAACCAAAAGATTATACAATTTTTTTTATTTTTAGACTAAATACACATAATTAATATTAGCCTTAATTATTTTCAGTAATTTTAAAATATAGTTTTTAAATTTCTGTTTGGAATAAATATGCATAATTAATAATAGCCTTAATTATTTTCAGTTACTTTAAATTATATTTTTTAAATAACTTAGAATTTAAGTCACGGTTATTTAAGATTTCATCATTTTTTCCCCCTTAAAGTGAGAGTAATTAAAAAAGTTGTCATTATAAATATATAACATTAATAGTAGGTTTTAAGGAAATAAAACTCAATCAGATGTAAATAAAAGTAAAGATATATATGTGGGTAAAAAAAAGAGTATTTCTGATAACAGCATTATGACATTTATTTCTGTTAAATCTCAGAGACATTACAAATTGTCCCTGACATGATAAATTAAGTGGTTCTTAAGTACAATCAGTATTTTACCTGAACTCAAGCATAAATTAATTTGTGTTTCATAGTAAAAATATAACCATTACCGTAATTTCCAGAAGAAACGGCGCGGCGTTTAGGTGCACTAAAAATAAAATATTTCCTGTGATGGTCATTGTACATAGTTTGAATAACTTTGTCATTGTACACAGTTGGATGGCCTTGTCACTGTACATAAACTGGTGCTGTTCCCACATAAAAGACCACTCAGTTGTTTTTTGCGAACATTATTTTGTTTACATTCTTTCCCTTGAACGGTCCTACATGCCTTATTCACCCTAAACTGGATCTCAGAACAATAACATTCTTCCCCCTTTCAAATCAGCATTCTCATCATTTTGAATAGTCTCTCTCCTCTGCCATTCGATGAAGCTTCCAGCACCCATCCTCTCCCCACCCCTGCCTTTTCTGCAATTTTTTTCAAAGGCAAACACGACTCCACCTGCATTGTAATAACGAACTCCGACGTATTTCCCCTTCAGCATGAAATCGATTCTTCTTGGCATTGTGTCAGATACAGATCCCAGTCAGTTTGGGTGCAAGTACTTGTTGGATAGTTTTTAAGTAAGAAGGGAGAGCGAAGGAAATTTTTGAAAATGGCACCTAAACGGCGCAGAAGCTATACTGCTGGTTTTAAGCTTGATGTAATTTCATATGCTGAACAAATTGGAAATAGAGCAGCAGCTCGAGAGTTTGAAATGGACAAGAGATGTATTTGATGTTGGAGAACTGAAATAGAAGAACATAAAAGTATGCTACAACAGAAACGAGCCAAAAGAAGTGGTACTGTAAGGTGGTCGAATCTAGAGGACAACCTTGAAAACTGGATAATGGAGCAATGAGGAAAGGGAATGGCAATTTCGACTGTAAAAATTCGCTTACAAGCAAAATTTATAGCAAAACAAATGAACATAAGTGATTTCAAAGGAGGGCCTTGCTGGTGTAGCATATTTATGAAAAGAAAAAGTCTTTCTGTGTGTACTAGAACAACAGTCGGGCAACAATTACCAATGGACTGGGCCCACCAGCAGCCAAGTAGTAAAGTCGCTGAACACTGGAAGTTCGGTGCGAGGTTCAAATCCCGCGAATGGTCTGGCTGCATGGGCGTTTTCATGGTTTTCCCCATGTGTAATGTGTATACGAGCCAGTTTCCCTTAGGAAGATCTCCACGAAGGCATCTCTCCTCTTAGGCATTTAACACTGGAGGCTTTCCGTAATCATATAAACCAACCCAAACCACTGGTAATTAAGGTAAAAGTAGTTTTGATTTTAATTCACCTTTGTTTCCTTTTGACATTAAATTGATCAGCTTTTGGTTTAGTTTGAAGGTATGAAAAAGAAGAAATGTTCAAAAAAAGTATTTATTGAGAGCATGGGTTAAGTAAATAAACATTTTTACTTTCAGATGGTTCCATATACATTTAATGATGAAATTTTTAGTCATTATTAAAGCACAAGCAATAAATTAACAGAAAATTTTAAAATAAAAACACAGCAGAACATCATTTAAAGACTGAAGAAATTGCTTTAAATGTTCACAGTACATTAGCTAGAAGGGAGAACTATAAAAATTTAATTTATTTAAATTTATGAAGTGCGTCTATACTATATTACAGAGAATAGGGCAATCAAGTAGATTTCTAAGATGTCATCTATGATTTTGCAAGCAAACAAATAAACAAAAAAGAAGCAAAATAATAGCATGATTTTTTTTAAATGTAAAAATTAAAATATTTCTTCAAAAATAAGCATGGATTTTAAAATTTATTTTCCTACAAGTTATTTTGATATATTTTTACTCATCGTACATCTAGAGGGATGACAAATTCAGCGACTTGTACCTCACACTGCAAAATCAAAGACCGTTTCTTGGCTGCAAAAGCTTTATCTACGCCATCGAATTTTCATTTTCGGAAGTTGGACGTCGGGGTCAACGAGCTTTTTACTTGAAACTAAAACAAAATGTGAATATTGCCAAATCATCTTTAAATGCGCCAAGGTGGCAAACTGAGAAGTAAATCTTCAAACACGCCTACGAAAAATGGGTCAGGGCTTGGTTCTATGGTAACAGACAGCTGCAGACAATCTGACGAGAGCTGTTTTTATGATAGACAGACAGTAAGTATCGCATTACATTAAAAATGCATTTTTTTTAAAACTCACCTCAGAAACAATAGATGTCAAATATGCTTTTTCATCTGGAGGTAATTGATGAATAATGTGTTGCAAACACTTTAATCGCAACTATAAAAAGAAAGCATATATTTAACAAAAGATATAAACTTACAACATAATCATGTATGTTATTGTTGTATCATGTTGTATGTTGCAGCAGAAAAAATACATCAGATTTAACTTACAGCTCGGGTAGATGGAGTTAGCCCACTTGCAGAGCTGCAGAGAAGTGTCCTTAAATCTTCCAAATGAGAGTTTATAAATGATTTACATGACTGAGAATCACAAATAGTAAGTTCACTTATTACACTGTACGATTTCTTTTTAATAGTGTGGTTTGAATGCTATAAATAAAAAATACATATTTAAACACAAAGAAATGCACAGATCTGTATAAACACATATGCATATACAGTACAAAGTCCATAATATGGACTCGTCGGGATGTCGGCGATTCCGGATTAGGGGTTTTTCCGGATTATAGATCATCAATTTAAATCTGATAAGATGGCATGCAGAAATTATACTATTAAAATATGAAACCATAATTTATGAAATAAAGAGCAATTATGATCTAAAGGGTATCAAATTTTATAAAAAAAAAAGCTTAATATTTATTTGTTTACTTTATTAAGGCTTTGAGGTCCAGATTATAGATCATTCCGGATAATGGACGTCCGGATTACAGACTTTGTACTATATAATAGTTTTTTTTTCTTAAAAAATAACCATATAAAAAATAATTTCTTTTGCTGTCACTAGTATATTATGTATGTAAATTTTAACTAAACACATAAAGTGCACATTTTGCTTTCACTATCCCACTGATGATGTAATCAATAGTGGCTACATCAGCCTTGGAGAAACACAACTAACATCAAGTTGCTCAAACTGTCACTTATAATTCTGCCTATGGGCTATGATGAAAAAGTATGAGTAATTAGTAGATAATAAGAGGAATGCAAATGTTACAGTTAGTGGAAAAGTTTTACTTATGCAGAAAAATAAATTTTCACTAGAATTATATTTTTGAGAAAATATTTAACTGCTTCTAAAAAATAGCTAAGACATGATCTTTGCAAAGAAAGGCAGGAAAGGAAGGTAGAAAATTATATATCTACTCGAGCAGTTTTGAAACAATAAAACAAAAATTAAAAGAATTAGTTAATATGAAAAAAGAAAAAAAAATTCTAAACAATATTAGGTGACTTTATTATTATACAGCTTTGAAAATACCTGTTAGTATTTCAATTCATTCTGTTAGAAAAATAACTAAATGATCTGTATGAACCAAAAATGCCCTAAGAGCCAAACGCCAGGCATGGTACATAAATAAACAAATAAACCAAAAATAACATAAAAAGGAAAAGGATTTAAAGGGAGGAAAAATTTTGAGCTGCTACAGTTACACATTTCCCTCAGAACTCTTTTTAAGTTCATCAGAGAAGATGACTAATACATGGGCGTGTTATCACACATTTTAGTATAAATATCAAGCAACATAGTGGCAGGAAAATATCCGAATATATCATAAATAGCGTATGAGCAGACAGTATTGGATAGAGACATTTTTACAACTCAGGCAAAAGCAGACTGTCGCATTCATTACACTAGCAGAAATCATTAATCTTTTGACCAATTAGACACACTGAACAGCTGAAGGGCATAGCTCAGTCAAAATTCACTGTTGCATGCAAATACTTAAGACACTTTTGATAAATAACTTCTGCAGTGAATTTAATATCACATAAAAAATAAGTACTAAAGATATAAAATTAAAATACCATGAAAAATGATTATTTACAATTATCTTGTTATATCAAATTTTAAGATTTCAGTATAACAAAAGATATTATACAAGAGAAAAGAAAATATATGTTCTTTACCTGCATCAAAGGCTTACAATAATCATACAGTTGTTCTATTTGAGATTCAGTCACTTTTGGTAACATAGCTTTACATAAATCAATCAAGCAATGCCTGCAAAAAAAAAAAAAAAAAAAAAAAAAAAAAAAAATTAAATAAGGTAGAAATTGCTAGAAGTTTACAAACATTGCAAAGTTAAAGTTATCATACCATTACTATTAATAAACAAAATGAGACTTACTGAATAAAATCTCTGACTGAGAGGAATCAAGTTTTCTAGAGCTTTATTAAAAAAGTTTCCATCCTAGAGTATCCAAAGCGATAAGCCAGACACTTCTATAAAACACAGAAGTCAACAAGTGTTCAACTTATTTTGAATAATACCCCTTTTCTTATCTTTTGTTCCGTTTCCTCCCTTTCTCTGTCCGCCGCATCTCTTTCTTCCCGCTTTTTCATCTTTTGACTCGGTTTGTTTAAATCAAACAATTTTAATTCTTTCAAACAATTTTAACTATCATTAGAATCTAGGCTTTTACTATCTGCTTTTTCCCTCCTCTTTTACTTTTCTTCCTCCTTTCTACATGCCTTCATGGGGTAACTGGAAGCACATTCAATGTGTATTTAGCAGGTCCACAGTTTGAATACCAGCGATGGCATTGCACATTTTTTATGCTCCTGCATCAATATAACCTACTTACTATACAAGTGGATTCTAAATTAAAAGGTAGTGGTTGACAGTTCATTAACACCAGGATTTGATGACAGGATGGCCTCATTCCCACTCGCCTTCTACAAGTAGAAGTATATAAGGTATTTTATCCCTCCTTTCTGCATGCCTATCAGTATAGCTGAAAATACACATAACTTAAATTCAGGAGGTCCAGAGTTCGAATCCCAGTGAGAACATCACACGTTTTCATTCCTTCAATATAACTATGATTCTATTTTGGAATTTTGATGATTTCCATTAATATCAGTTTCCATAAGTAACATAATTCATTCTAATAATAAACTATGCTTATCTAAATTGCAAAATAGTACTTACGAACCATAATCTTCTATTCAATTACGAGTAACTTGCCTGAAAAAGAAAATGTGGTACAAGCGAATGGTAATTAGAAGTAAGAAAAAGAAATCGGTCTCAAAAACTATTTGCCATAATGTCCGCCAAGCGCAACATTTGAAGAATTGTGGTAGGAAATTGCAGCAACTGTATTCCAGGAGCTGAAATGTCGTAACATAGAACTACATAAATAATAAGAAATTTGTCTGGCAAAACTGGAAAAACTGTATACGCGCGGACATATACACACATACATATACCGTATATGTATGTGTGTGTATATATATATGTGTGTGTATATATATATACACACACACATACATACAGGGTGATTCTGAATTGTTTTTACAAATTAAGAAGGGTAATCATCCCCATCCAGACGAGCAATAATTAACATAGAACATAGGGTCGCATTTCACTCTGAGGGGCAGAAAAGAGTAATATTAGAATTCCAACCTGAACTTGCAACAGTGTTGGGGAAGCGAATGAACGAGACCAAAAGTTGTGCAATTGGATTTATTGTTTAGTGAAAAACTCATAGAAAGTGCTCAAAATGCTGACAACTTGCTCTTCCATTCCATTTTTGAAAGGGCAAAAGAACTGATTTCTTGCATTCTTCGATCAACACTGGAAAAGGTTGCATGACCTGGAATCCGAAGAGTGGAAACCACTGTTTGCACAATCTTTGTGCTTTGCGTCCATTCCCTATTGCTTAATCACATGCGAGGTGAATATATGCTGATTCCTCATATGCGTACTCTGCCATAGTATTCACGAAAAGTTTCCGATTATGTTGATGAGGTTGTGCCGTTTTCAAGGATACCATTTGCTCTGATTGGCTTTCTCCAGTACCAATTAAGAGCAAAATCCTGCTTCTTCTCAGTGCAAATTTGCATGCAGTTAATTTTTGATAGCCCTTAGGAGATAGTCTCCTTATTCTTCCTTGTGCTATATGCGCATATCAAAATTAAAGGATAATGACATAAATAAAACTTAACTGATACTTAATAAAAATTATTAATAGAAATTTGTGCAAAAGCATTAGTTAACAAATATTACAATGTTTAGCAGTTGATTATTTGTAAAATAGTGAAATTAAAACCAAATCATGGAAATTGCAAAATGATGGAAAAACTAAATCACCTCTTGTGAGAAAAATTTACTTTAATATGGTTTATAGTAATCTCGGAGAGATATGTATACCTCGCAATTTAATTTCACAGACTTTAGCAAAGTGTTGATAACTTCTAATGGAATAGCACACAACTCTTCTTAAAGTGCATTTTTCAGATCCTCGAGGGTCCAGGGAGGAGATTAGCTCACTGAAATTCGTCATCCAACACAAGCTCAATCTGGCTTAAGTTTGATGAGTTAGGTATCAATTTAAGTGATATCTTCTGTTTGCAAGTATTTTGACACCACATATAATCAATGGGGACCAAGCATTATCACCCATGAGCAAAAACTCTGAGCCAATAGCACCCCTAAACAGTCTAACTGGGGTTCCAATACCTCATAGCGGTTACAAAACCTCCTTGAAATATATGCAGCTCCGTGCGGCCATTTGTCATGACTCCTTCCCAAACCATTAAAGCACAGTCAATGAAACAGGATATTTCATGGTCAAGGGGAGACAAGTTGCGTGTTCCTTAATCTCTACAGATCAAAACATGTCTAGAATCACTGTTCATACTATATCTGGACTTGTAAGTAAACAATACTCGGCTTGTCTCCGGTGAACACGATGACGGCACCTGTTTAAACATGCCCCTCTGGAAGCTGGAATTTGTATTACACAAACCATTGGTTTTCTCACACACAGTCCAACCTTGTTAAGCCTTCGGGCAGCAGTAATGACTAATTTGAGTTCCTGTGGCAGCCTTAAGGTCCAAAATCACATCACTTGTAGTCACTTCATGGTTTCTTCGAGCTGACAACTACAGAAAATGATCTTTTGATGAAACTGTTGCTCTTGGTCACACTTGACCAGGTTGTCTGTCAACTGATCCAGTGCTTATAAAGGGGGTTTAAAACTCTTGATATGACATTCTGAGGGATATTCAAATCTTGAGTGACCTCCACTTGTGTTTGATCTCCCTTGATTTTACCAATTATTTGCTGCCTTTGACCTTTACTTAAATGGTGCCTTTCAACCACAACTTCTGAATACTGATCACTCTCAGACACTGCATTCACTTTAACTATCAATTTCCGAATTTGCATATATCCGGCATTAACGTATGTGCAAAAGTCGAATTTTGTGTTCAACTGTATTTAAGCAACATAAAATAATTACAGATTTGGGCACTGGTCGCAACATTAACTTAGTGAGCTTATATTTTCTCATTGTTCTCGAATTTTGATGACCAATTTAAAATAGGAAAACAAAATTAAATACCAAATAGTGAAAGAAATGTAGTAGAATATAGTGTTATATATCATTTATTTCAATCCTTATCTTTTATATCCTGGTACTATAAAACTGGCTTTTATAGAAGATATTTTGAAGACTGTATTAAAACAAAATTATTAATGATATAGTTTAGACTTGCACGGTTTTACAATACAAGGGGCAGCCAAGATGTTCCCAGAATAGGGTAATAATTGACTGAGCTAATATTAGATTGAATGCACACAGAACTGATGACAACTTGATAAAATTTATCTTACCAAAAGAAATACTTTATAGTTCTAGATCTTTCTACAAAAATACTTGTACAGCTCTTCTCAGTATCACAGAGCACAATCAGTAACTCTTCAAACTACTAAGAGCATTAAACACAAAGTAATGCAACATGCATATAAAGAGCAAAGCTCACACAGAGATAATTTCAATACTCCAAAGTCAACTCTGAACTAACAACTGAGAAACTGATGCTTTCCCTGATCCTTAATTTTTCCCCTGGCCACTGAGAAATCTCTAGTACCTTTCACTTCTCGAAATTACTGGAAGGCATATGAGGGCCGAATATGTTTACAGTTACATATAAGGTTCAGTAACATTTATTCAATCACAACACCAATTGCAGTTATAAAGGGAATGGAACAATATGTTGCCAAGTATGGTGACAAAAATTAGTTACCAAAAACGCTGCCACCTTGGCGATATCTCGTCAATTTAGTGGTGTGGTGTGGTGTATTTAATTATGGCAAAGCACACTAGGGCTATCTGCCTAAGGGGAGGGATGCCTTCGTGGAGGACTTTCTAAGGGAAACTGGCTCGTATACACGTTACACATGGGGAAAACCACGAAAACGCCCATGCAGCCAGCCCGTTCGCGGGATTCGAACCTCGGACTGAACTACCAGTGTTCAGCGACTTTACCGCTCGGCCGCTGGTGGGCCCATCAATTTAGTGAGATAGCCATTAACTTCAATGTTAAATAGACTTGCAACCGTAGCTTTATTTTTCCCGCAGAGATCTTCTATTTCAAGCATTTCAAGTTACATCAAATAAAAAATATTACTAGTTCACTAAAATTATTTACAAAATTAATTTCTGATCAAAAGGTGTAATTAAAAAACACAAACACATGTATATTTTGCATTAAAATACTATTTTGAGAAAGGTTGAAAATAGTATAAAAAAATTCTTGCGAAATTGTTTCCCTGCAGTCTTGATATCTAAGGGCACCATACATCAAATTAAATTCCTATTGTATTAGATATGACAGAATTTTTTCTCTGTTTAATTTTTCAATGTAAAAGGAAAAAAAAAAAATTGATTCATAATTTTTAAACATACTTTGAGCCAAAATTAATAAATGGAGTGGATTCAGAATTTGTGTAGTAACCTAGTTGAGAAAAAGGAAGGCTTTTTTCTTGCATTTTTTCACCAAGCTAGCAACTTCAGAAGCATTTATGCAAAATGGCTGCTACTGAAATATAAAATGCCTTTTGAAAACTAGAGTTACTGAAAGTGAACTCCATTACATACAATAATATACCAGAAAATAATGCCAAAAGCTTCCAACTCAAACAAGAAATTTCAAGAAATGAGTTCATTTTGCATAAATTCTGGGGAATCAACAGTATCCGAGAAAAGAATGGAATATA